ACTCTCACCCATACAGATCAAAGAACGAGCCCTCACGGGTAGGAGTCCATAACTCACTCAGGATTGAGAATGAGTTGCCTGGTCATCCTAAGAAATGACAATCTATTAGTTAACGGTGTTACATCTAAAGATTGCCTATTTCGCGGTCCGGTCTTATACAAACTCATTGTATAGGATACCCCCACTCGCATGTCTCCACACGAACGACCTGGATCGAGTCGTCTGTAACATTTACAGAGCGGGCCGTATCCATAGTGTTGCCAGGATAAGGTACCCAGCCTTATCAATGATATACCCAGTATATATACTGTCCCGATTACATTATAAATAACCTTGGATGTTTAGTTTATTGGATTTTGGACAATGCAAAGCTATGATTCAAAAACAAATTTATTTAATAAAACTTTATTAAATAGACATTTGTTTTTACAAAATACAAACTACGAGTTTAGGGCAACACACCCAACAGCTCGATCCATAGCCCTTCTTTGGGTGGTCCATGAATGGACTTGATGGATACGGTGAAACATGTGAGTCCATAGCCCTTTTTGGGTAGTCCATGCGTGGACTTGATGGATAATGTTTAAAGTCTTCATAGCTCAATTTTGAGTGGTTTATCAATGATAGACTTGATGAAGCGACAATGTGAGTATGAAGGTGAGGCCGCCTTCTATGAAAGAGTTGTGAAGCCTCTTTCTAGAGCTTTCACGATGACCCAAAGTGTATGTGCATGGCCACTAAAAGCACTTGACAAGTATCGTGGAATCAAAATCGACGACTAAAACATGTTGTGGGGGTCTCAACTATAAATAGTGGAAGTTCAAGAGGTAACTCACTTTCATTATTGAGGTTGTTGCCCTACTTCACTATGCATTAATTCAAATCGAAAGATATTAATGCTTAAGTTTTATCCTTTGCTCAGTTTTTCAATCATTCTTCTTACTTCTTTTTCCTATGTTGTCATTTGTGGGGGATTGTTGAGAATGACACATTGTTTTGAACAATTCAAGGAAATGTGGATGGCATAGCTTGTATTGTGGAAGTCAAAGTGGCCAAATGATACATGGATGATTCAATATTTTTGTGGAATTTTTTGTTTTGTAAATTGAAAATCTATTTTGGGTCACTTGGTTAGTATAAATATGAGTCATTTCCTTCCAATTCAATCATCCCAATTGATCCCATGTCTCATTTGCAATTCCTCCGTTACACTCTTTTTCATCTTTCCAACACCTTAAACTGAGCACGAGATTGATTCCACTCCCATTCTGATGAGTGCACGTCTGGGTTGGAGGTTGTGTTAACCTTGGGAGCATACCGGCAGCAAAACGATTTAGCACCGAGGTCGTGCCGATTTTGCTTTCAAGGCAGTGGTTCCGCCCACAGCACAACGCTTTTAGCTCCCGGTTCAATTTTGTCCTTTATTTCCCAACAACATCTTGCATTTGAAGTTTTACAGCTGATTTGTCATCTTTTCGCGCGTGATTTCGAATTCTCGGTGTCTCTTGTTCTGTAGCCTTGCTTTCCCATTTCGATTTCTTTGCCTTATACTGTATTGATGACAATGTTATCGTTTTTGTAGTTCAAATTCGTGGCATTAATTTTCGTTCTCTGGTTTTATTAGATAATTTAAGTTTTAGCTTAAGTATTCGTGAATAAACGCTCTCCTGCCTGTTTTGCTAGCATTTCAAACTTTGAATGACATTTAGAACTTACTAATTGCTTGGTATCTTCTACTTAATTATCACTCTACTTATTTATTCTCTTTTGGGTTTGTTGTAGATGAAACTTTTAAGGTGCCTGTACCTGCACTGTTAAGCACATTTAATTGTAACATAAGCGCGAATTCGTGTTAATTTTCCTGCTGTGCTAAAGTCAACATAGTCTTAGTTAAGCACTCTCTTTAATCAGGGATTATGGACGAAGATTGTACAAGGAATTCACTGAACCAAGGAGTCCAAAATCTCTTGGCTCCCCCGGGCTTTGTTTCTCGAAGATCCTTCAGGCTGAGGAGGGTGGAACAGAATGAGAATGATGATTCGAGTCAAATAAAGCAAACTGAAATCAGTACTTTGTCTCAGACGATTGACATTGAAATGATGGAGGCGGCTTGTAGACAGAGACCCTGGATATTATTTGATCAAAAGAATGAGGATTGTTTGGAGTTTGAATCTATGGAGAATGATATGGTGAATTATGTTTGCTTTCCTTCCATTCATTTTTTTCTGTTCGATTTGTCCTCCTTTTAGTTTAGAGTAAAACGTTTCAGTTAATATTAAATGTTTGGTTACCTTTTGTTTGAAATTTTATAGAAGAATCATAATAATAGTTTTAATGGATCGGGGACGTACTGGGTATCCTTGTTTTCATCAGGAATATAAAAGGTTATATAATTACAATTAAATCAACTGATGTACTAATAAGTTGACACATTAATTGTTTCACATGTATTACTAATAATATGTTTCCCTTAAAACATTGCTTTTTAATCAGATATTTTTGTACTTCCACTCGGGTTCATGAAAATTGATTTTTCAATGAAAAATTAGTATGTTTCAATAATGACTAAAAACATGTAGGATTTAGTAATTATTTGAAACCTACAAGTGTTTTTGGCTATTTTTGTAAATTATAAGTAGCAACACCAATATATTAATAACTTGTTATAAATTTTTCCATTTTTCGTAATTGGCCCTTTGTAGAACCTCCCTCCACAATCTGACCTTCCAAAAGGGGTAGCACTTGGATGTCCAGAATGCAGTAACTGTGTGAAGGTTAACCTGCATCCATTTGTTGAAATCTGAATGATATCTGTTCAAGAATTTTCTATGAACTTTATAGCACCAAACCACTATGTTCTGAAGTACAGTTGACATTCTGGAATAGGTCACGGCAAGGTGGCATCCTGAAGATGCAAGAACGGATAGTCTTGAAGAGGCCCCTGTTTTCTATCCAACAGAGGAGGTGTTGAGCTGTAATGGATAGAATTTACTTATTTCACTGTTCATTTCTAGTTAATGTGTTTATTACATGCCTAAGATATCATTTCTAATTTTACTTCCTTCTTATGTTACTGAAATGTTCCTGCAGTAATTTGCAGATACACTTCAATATATAGAAAGAATACGGCCAAGGGCAGAGTCATGTGGAATCTGTCGTATAGTTCCTCCTCCATCATGGCTCCCTCCATGTCTTTTGAAGGAAAAGGCAATTTGGGAAAACTCTCCTTTCTTAACCCACTACCAGCGGATTGATGGGTTTCAGAAGAATTTTGCATGTGGTCGGTTTCCTAAACATAGTGATAACCACAAGAATAAGAGGAGAAGGATCGAGTATGAGTGTGGCAATAGATGTTTTATGGATCCTGATGAAAGTTGTGGTATTGATAAGAAAGGCCCAAGCTCAAAACTTGGTCGAGAGTTTACTCTAAAAGCTTTTAAAAGTTATGCAGATGACTTTAAATCCCAGTATTTCAGCAGTGGAAATAAGGTCACAGATACAGAAACAAATTCATCCACGGTTCAAGAGCAGTGGGAACCATTAGTGGATCAAGTAGAGAGTGAATATAGACGCATTGTTGAGAATCCAACTGAACAAATTGAGGTACCTGGGATAATAAATTTTTATTTCGACTTTCTTCAGTCAGACAAACTTCAGTGTGCTGATCCTTCTGTATGAGTGTTTTAAGGTGCTATGTGGGTCATAGTTTGGATAGCCCTTCACTTGGCAGTGGATTTCCAGCATCATCCAGTCCTTTGATTGAACCAGGTCATGCTGATCATATGGAATCTGGATGGAACTTAAATAATTTACGTGGACTACCTGGTTCACTTCTTTCTTTTGATAGCTTCAAGACATGTTCTATTTTATTGCCTCGAGTTTACGTGGGAATGTGCTTTTCGTCGACTTGTTGGGTACGGGTACCAGAATAGATGCTTATTAAGTAGAAGCTACCTTCTCTAATTATTTGTTGGACTAACAAAACTTTTAGTGGTTTAGTTTTATTCGAAGAGCAGGAGTTTCATTCTTCAGTTTCATCTTTTTATTGTTAATCATACACTCCTTTTCAATTAGTACTTCGCTTTTTTTGCTGTTGGGGAAAGGGAAAAAAAAAAAAAAAAGGCTTCCATGGACATATTGATCATCATGCCAACTGGAAGTACTTTACGTTAATGCCTGTACTTATTTATGTAGTTGTAGATTTTGAGGAATAATATATGTTGTTGTTGCACTTTTTTCCCCTATTTTTAAAAACAGCGAGTTGAAGAACACCACTTACCTTTGTTATGTTACTTGCACTTGGGAGCTCCTAAAATATGGTATGGCATTCCAAGAAGATACATTGGTCAATTTGACGTAGCCATGAAGAACCTTTCAGAATTTTTTGTGGAACAGAAAAGGTTCCATAGAGGAACGGTGAGTAATGACGTTCTCAAATTCATCATTCAAGAAGGATTTATGTCTGGCTGTTTTATCAAATATTTATATCAGCTCTAATAATTTATTGTTCACAATTTTTTTCCTTCTTTCCTTTCTTGTATCCAGTTTTTCTTTTGTACAGAGGGCTATTTATTTCTTACCATTATTGTTGGAATACAAATATTCTATTCCATCCAAATTGGGTATGGTATCGGAGTAGGAGGTCCTAAATTCAAACTCCTTAAATCTCATTTCCTCTCTAATTAATATTGTTGCGCCTTGTGTTAATTTTCAAGCTCAAAAATAAGAGACATTGTTAAAAGTACGAATGATCAATTAGGTTTATCGTAGCTCATAAGGCTAAGTTTTTTGGTCCAATGGTGATTGAGTACGTACTAAGTTTAAGTTGTATAAGACCATATTCGTAAATGAGTAGCCCATTATGCTACTTGATAATTATAAAAAGAGAAGGGAACACACCTACTTCAATGTTCACCGGTACTATTCCTTGATAATACAGGTCAGCCAACCGTCAATTGCCACGTTGAAGAGAGAGGGTCTACCGGTTTATATGGTTGCATTCAGAATCCGGGAGAGTTTGTTCTTGTCTTTCCAGGAGCATGTCATTCCGGATTCAACTGTGGCTTTAGTATTACTGAGGAAGCAAATTTTGCTCCCCTTCACTGGTTGCCTTACGGTTATAATGCTGTGGAGCTCTATGCTATAGATGGAAGAAAGACGTCGATATCCTTCTTTAGGCTGTTGCTCAGAGCAGCCATTGAAGCTGTGAAGGCACAATGGGAACTCTCTATGTGCAGAAAGGAAACTAAAGAGAATTTACGATGGAAAGACGCCTGTGGAAAGAACGGGGTATTAGCCCAGACATTCAAGGTATGCTCCCGAACTCCACCTTGCAAAATTTTACTTATTTAAAGTTCTTCATGATCAAAAATCTGTTCGGGAAAATATTGCTTTTCTTCTTCTCGAGTAGTTTGCATTACAGGTCCTATGTTTGTATCTTACATTGCCTAGAAGTAGTACTTTACATGTTTTCATATTTTCAAAGAGAAACAATTTTTTGGGGATGAAATGAAAAATTAATAAACAACAAATTACAATGGACAAAAGGCTGAAGCACAAACTGAATGAAGAAAAAACAAGCTATAAAATCTTAAATAAGCTAATCAACTCTCTAGAAATAACAAATTTGATCTTGACAGCAACGACTTCACTTTTCCAAAAGGACCTTACTGTTTGCAACTTTGACAGCAAGAAGTGGAGAGGTCTTGGGACTTGGGAGGAGGTTTGGTGCTGTGCTAGGTTTAGTGCCTTGCTTTGGGCATATGTTTCTAAAGACTTCTGTAACTATTTTTTAGGTCTTATTATTTTGGATATGGGCTTTTCTTTGTTTTTGTTAGGTTAGCTCCTTTTCAGGTTGCCGCGTTTTGCTTGGCCATCTGTTGCAAGCTCCAATATAATATGCGCGAGATGTGATCCTTAATAGTCTACTGTTGCTTTTTTCTTGGTTTTTGTTGGTCCTCTAGTAGACCCAATTGTATTCTTTATTTTTCTCAATGAAAGCATGGTTTCCGATTAAAAAATAAACTCGGAAAACAAACCAAAATAATGTGGAAGCTTATGTACAAAGAAACCGACGTCTATTACATGTCTATATAACTGGCTGAGATTTTCCAAGTATAAAGTTTCAAACTGTTTAACCCTCCTTCGTGCAGTCTCGTATTAAGAGCGAAGGTCTCAGGAGGGAGTATCTACGTCAGCTTCACAGATGCAGGAAGTAAACGAGAGCTATGACGCTGTCAGTAAGCGCGAATGCAGCATTTGCCTTTATGATTTACACTTGTCTGCAGCTGGTTGTCCATGCTCTGCAGATAGGTACTCTTGTTTGAATCATGCTAAGCAACTCTGTTCTTGTGCTTGGGGCGACAAGTTCTTCGTCGTGCGGTACAAAATGGGCAACTGAAATCCTCTTCTGGAAGCCTTGGAAGAAAAATTAGGTGCAGTCTACAAATGGGTCAAAGAGAATCTTGGACTGGCTGTGCACTCCTACATTACTAAGAATAGTTTACCACAATCTCAGACTGTCGATAGCTCACATTCTTCAAAAGGAGATCAATCCGAGGATGCAGAATCGCCGAATTCTGCTAATACCTCGATTAACAGAATTAAGGCAGAGATCAAGGCTCTTCTTCTCCAGTCGAAAACCTTGAAGCGCATGAAAGAAAACGAAAAGGTAATAGAATCGAAGATGCAGTTAAAGACAATGGCAATCCTTCAAATTCTGATTCTGGAATTTCATTAGAAAAGGCAGCAACAGCATCAATGCTTCAACCAATAAGTTCAAATGAACTTAAAGGAAAAGAGAAGCCATCAACTCCAGCAGTAGCTTTAAACGAAAGAGGAGATGGCTTAATCTTTTCACTTAATTTGGAGTCTTTTGAAATTGCTATATTATTGACAGATAATTTGTATTTGACTTTTCTTGGTGTTTTTAATCAACTAGGTGGACACGTGTTGGTGACTCAGCTCAAGTCTTTTAATCCAACTCATATGGGTATTTTTACCCATCCAAACAAATTCGGTTCGGGTTTTTTATTCAAGTGGGCCTTTACCCAAGAAGTCAGTTATGCCACCTACAGATAAATGCTTGTTGGGGTGGCAGAGTGTGGGGTAGAGTGCGTGAGAGAGAGTGAGAGAGATTGAAAAGAGAGAGCCATTTTTTTGTAATAGGGTGACGAATTCTTCTTCCATCCTAGGGTTCTGATTTTTCAATCTTTCTGGAATTTTTGTGGGAGCTGGGTACTGTCCAAGAA